CGAGCTAGGATTGGAGAGGGGTGTCACGTAATATTGTCCCACTTTTGATAATGGGAATGAAAATTTGTGTATGACATGGGTGTAGGAGATTGGTCAACTTTTCTACGAGTATCACGAGCCTTAAATATTTATGAATACTGAAACAAATGTTGTTGTATATTTGATCAATTTGCTTACAAATAACAAAGCAATTTGACCAGCTTTTTATCATTCTAAATTATTAGGGTGTGTCACACCCCTCACACCAACCCCTCCCCAATTGCCACGCCCATATCAGCAAGCCGAGCTGGCCCGCTTGACACAACCTCAGCCCGAGCTGACCCGGTTGCATGGAACCGAAACGTTTCAATTGATTATAATAAACTATAGGGAACGGGCCAGCCTCGCCCATGCAATCCGCCCCTTACATCATGACCCGGGTTCACATCACTGTGCATGGACCTATTCGAAATAGAGTAAGAGGCCTATTGCGAGATACACAAAAACGAGGCTAGTCAGGTTTTCTACTGCAAAAATTCCAGAATAATTTGTTTACTTCTAAATTTTGATTGAGGAAACGTTTTTTGTATCTTCTGACATAAAATATGATTTTCATATTCGAAAAAAATAAGATCTGATTATAGCCTGACTACACCAAGAAATTGTAATAATAATAATAATAATAAAAAAAAAATAATAATAATAATAATAATAATAATAATAATATAATAATAATATAATAAATATAATAATAATTAATAATAATATAATAATAATAAATAATAATAATAATAATAATAATAATAATAATATAATAATAATAAATAATTAATAATAATAATAATAAAGATTTATTAGCATATTCCACAAAGTGGCTCTTCTTACGCTAAGATTACAAATATAACTAACTATAACTATGTGTATATACAATTTAATAGACTAAACGCATGCATTGACTTTACTAAACAGTGAGTCTTTCTGCCGCTCTATTGTTAAAATGAGCCTTGGCTAATCTTATAAAACTAGAATAGTTATCACATGATTTGACATCCTCAGGTAAAATATTATAAACTTTAGCGCAACAGGCTTGAAATGTACCGTCTTCCAGGGGAACCTTTAATTTGTGTTCACCTGGAAGTTCTACTTCGCCAAAGGCTTCTTTCTCCTTTTCCAAAAGGTTTATGTACTTTATCTTCCTGAGGGGCTTCAAACAATTACTTTAAAATATAAAAATGGAATGCTAAAAACTTCTGATAAAAGTTTGCTTAACAAAACAGGAAACTAATTCTAAAAGTAAAGATATCCACGATTCATCACTCATTCCAGCTACTTTAGATCAGGTAAATCATTGACCTAAACTTCCTTCTTATTCATTTCACTCACGTCTCTGACAAAATGAAGAAAGATGAACAAAAATATCCTTCATTTTATAGCGTCGTTTGTCTGGCTACGAAAATATTTTCCTTTAGATTTTAATTTCTAATGGAAGAAATAATATTTTCTTATATAGGGACATAAAGACCTTTAACTTTCAGGAAAATAACATGAACAATTGAAAATTTATTGCTTCAGTCACAGCGTCATTTTTATGTTTCTTTCAGAGCCTTTTTTTACTCAAAGCGGGAAAACATGTAATAATGATCCATGTTAATTATAGAAGGATTTTTCGTTCATCGTCTTCCGTTAGGAACAGTAAAGCAAGTAAAGATGGCTATTATACTGAATTCCTGTGTGTAGAATAAACTGAACGCTTAACAAGTAAGAGGCTGAATATTCATGTACGCTTATCACAAGTACACAAAGGAAGTATGTGAATTAATTGATCTCACACGCAGGTTATAAAAACACACAGCAGGAAAATCTCTTGGATAAAAAAAATATATTTTAAAAATATTTTAAAAATATATTTGTACTAATATTACACAGTTCAAACGTTTTCATAGACGTATTCCGTGTTCGTTAAATCCGTTGACTGTTATATAAAGTTAATTGGCTTTTTTTAAAAAATATATATATCAGACATTTGCGTGCGTTTCGCCGTTAAAACAAGAAATTCTATGCTCAACAATTTACATCACGAAAGGAAAAACTAAAAAAAACGTTTCAACGATTTCCGTGGTTTTCGCATTTCAGGACGTTCCATAGCTGAACGTTTTGATTTACACGTGGTTTTCGCATTTAAACAAGAAATCGGATTCTAAACTACTTACACCAAGAAAGGAAATCTTAGAAATACTTTTCAATATTATGAATTTTGAAATATTTGCTGCCATTTCTGTCAACGAACAGAAGGGAATGCGTTGATGGAAGAAAGAAAGGAGGTTGATGAGGAGGAAATGGACTGCTAAAAAAGAAAGAATAACGAAAGTAACTGGAAGCTATGATTCTCCCTTCCGACACCTTAACAAAATATATCAATCCACGGACAAAAATAACGATCAAATCAGAAGCGATATAAACAGCCTCGTAAAAGTTTCCAATAGGAAGTTTATGCAAATTTTGCACATCATTTGGGAAAGTAATAGAAAGTAAACCAGAATTAGACGATGTATCTCTTGTCAAGAACACTGCATTGCGAGTATCTTTTGTACCAGATAAAGACCACCAACGAATATTCGGTAGATTCAACTCTCCGGTTGAACGTACTATCCACGTATTGCCACATTTTATTTCCCACAATTCATAAGTTGAAATGAATTCAGACAATAATAACATAACAGCACACCCATCAGAACTTATTGCGACAGAAGGGTCAGTAAACCTACATGACGGTGTTTCTTGATAACACAGTTTTTCGTTACAAATTTTTAAAATAGAAAGTTTCCGATCGCCGTAAATGACAAGAACTCCATTTTTAAATGCGAGGACACGTTCAAAATTTACAATAGATTCTTCATGTTGACTTCCTAAGACATTTTCACTCCTAGGTTCATAACGATATTTAACAACCAGACCTTCACAGACCAACCAAAGATACGACTCTGACCACCAACATGCCAACGCTCGTTGTTTCAGTGCAACAGTTTGCAATGTTTTCCCACTATCAACACTTCTTATTGAAAGAAGGCAATTTTTAAAACAGCACGCAACATACAAAGTGTCTGGAGAGAGTGCACAGCAATCTATTTGGGCATTGTCAAGAAAAGTAACATCAGGCCATTCGAGAAGAGATTTGAAGGATAAAACACTGAGTACTTTGTGATATCCTAAACATAAAAGGAAACTCGTCCCATCTAATTTCGAAATGTAATTAACACGAGTATTACAAGGCAAAAATCCAATCTCAAACACGTCAACGATCTTTTGATTTATGAAATCGTACACTACCAAAGCTAAATCATTTTTCAAATAATTTGTAAATGCTACACACTTTCTGTTTTTCCACACAAAGACTTTTGAACAATATTTATTGGAAATTATAACTGTCTGACCAGATGGCAAACAGATGTAATTCATTTTCATTTTAACATTAAAGTCGAAAAACGAATGAGGCGGGGAAAACATTTGAAAAGAATCATTACTACACAAACTCTGGTCAACACGAATATTCTTGTTATCGAGCTTTTCTAAAGTTTCAGAATTCAAGACGTTCATGTAATCCAAGACATCCCCGATAATCTCCCATGACGTGGCCAAAGAAAAATGTACGAACTACAATTACTAAACAAACAATAAGACCGCTCATCATACACATTCTCAACTTCAACCAATATATTCTTGCTTTTTACATCCCACACTTTGATTGACGTTTTCTCTAATGTGACAAGTTTCATTCCACATGAAGAAAATGAACAGTAACTGATGTCATCGGGGCCGTGCGTAATGAAGGGGACCTCTTTCTTTTCTTTAATATTGATGCAGAACCGGATTGAATTACATAAAATATATGAAGAGTCTGGAGAAAAGGCAGAGAATTCGAGAAAAGTTCTTTTAATAGTAATTTGTGCCTCAAAGATTGTTATAAGATCTGGTATTTTAAGCATTTGAACTTTTTCCTCATCCACATGTATGCAAGCAAGCATCGTCTGGTCCGGTGACACTAAAATATCAAAAAGTGAATCGTCTGTAAACACAGTTTGGGGGACAATGCTTAAATTAGAATGGCTTTCCGTTGTCACATATTCTATCCAAATCTCATTTGTCGCACCCAAGATATCCCTAGCTACACTTTTGGAATTGACGGCACCTTGTGAAAAATCAAAGTGCCCATTAGCAAGTGCTTGCAAATATACGTAACAATGATCTTTTTCATAAGTCTTAAATATTCCTACCAGAGCTAAGTTGTAGCATTTGGGATAAACAAACGTGTTGAATGAGGCCCCAATAAATATCTTTGGAAAGTTTAGAACGGTACGTGCCAAGAATTCGCATTAAAAAAAGATCGCTCAACTCATAAAAAAATTTTAGTTTCAAGAAGTTTATACACACAACGTGCACCAACCAATGAAATTCTCTACCTCGCCTGTATCGACCAAATATTTCAACCATTTTTAAAGCGTACTATTCTCGGTGATTTGGAATTCTAAAACTGACTTCAAAGCATCTATCTCACAGAATTGTTTCTTACAAGCACGCCAGAGACGTCTATTGCCGTCTTCAACATCTGCAACGAATGCATGTTCTTCATAACCGTTCAATGTCAGCCAATCCCATAATGACTTATGATAAACAGTCAGACACCCATCGTAAACTGGAAGAATCTCTGACATTAGGTCAAGAACCGCTTTACGTATTTTAAATTCGTCTTTAGAGAGACCCATGCATGTGAAAAGAACTTTTTCTGGGAGGGGTTCCTTAGAAACGGCAACGACATTGATGAAACTGTTTAAGAGACATGAGGTATCTTGCTTGAAATGTTGGAGGCCTATTTCTAAACGTGTGAACTGCTTTTCGTAATATCCCGAAATACCGTTGGAGATGTAATCACTTAGGTCGGGTTCAATTCCCACGCCCTTTTTTTCAATTCACTGACCAAGTAATAAGCGTACAAAAACGATCCCTCACACTTTGAAATAACTGACCTTATACTATTATCATCAAGATTAGGTAAACTATGACGAACAAAAAGCTCTATGTCGTGGTTGTGATCTTCGTCATCAAGACGGATTTCCCACGGGTGAAGATGTTCAAGAACCTTTCGTACTTGTAGCTCTGGTCGACTTGAAATGAATATCTTAATCCAATCAGGCAGTTCACAAAATTTCTCAGATATCAATTCCAATAATTCGCTTTTCTCGTCAGTTTTGCTCTCGTCCAAAGCATCAACGATGATCAACATTGGATCGTGTCTGTCAAGGGCATGGAGGGGGTCGTTCAAAAGAACACGAAATGCGTCTGACAGCGAGTGACGAGAATGTTCACGACGAAGAATTTCAGTCAGTTTATCACGAAATCCTTCAACATTATCACACATTTGACTGGCAAGAGACTGGAGGATTCTCTGAGGATTGCTGAATCAGAATTTCGAAAGTCACTGAAATGATGAGCTGCGAGTTGACCACGTTCTCTAAAAAGCTTGCAAAGCTTTGCAGACAAAACACTTTTTCCAACGCCTGGACCTGCAGTTAAGATCAAGACCCTGGATTCTTCACTCTCAAACCAATTTGAAAGTTTATCAAACAACGACTTTCTGGTGCCATCTTGAAATTTTCTACAAAGGTCACGAATCTTTCCAGTGAAGTTAAATTTAGCCAGTTGCTCGACATGCGAGGGATGAACATTTTCAACTGTCTTTCTTTTTGACTACTTACTTTCAACATCGTTTAATTTTGACATAAAATCATCCTCTTGTTGTTTCCACTCTTTAATCTTTCAATATAACTTTCTTCTTCAGGGCTAAGAGGAGCCACCTTTAATTCATCGATGTCATTTTGAGGAATTCCCAATTTGACTAACGGAACAGAAATTTCTTTCCACAATGTTTCAAACGTTACGTCGTCCAAACCAGCAGTCGGAATATGACCATAGACTTCATTTCTAAACATTTTGACTCTTAAAATATTTGCAGATATAGAAGTATCGCTGACTGGAGGCATCACATTCCATCCGGTGGCTGGTGCGGACAATCCACAAATATTTCGGAGTAGGACAGTCAATAGGGTAATATCAAAGTTGTTTGAATCTGGTGAACCAGATCTTGGGAAGAGTAGATCCCATTGCGAGGCTTTAATTACACTGTATCGTATTCTCTGTAAGGTCTTCTTGTTTGCATTCAATACGGAAGCTAAGGTGGAAGGTGGATGCACCGCATGCAAAGCATTTCTCAAAACATCTCCACCTTTATCTACCAACAAATGACATACCCTGGAATAATTAGCTTTGGCTTTCAATGGATCCATTGTTGTCTTTAAATATCAACTTCACAATCCCCTAAACCAGAGACACAGTCAGGATAATAATTCTTATAATACTATTATATAAAGGATGTTGTATGGTTTATCAATTATAAGCTTTTTAAAGTGATATAAATACGTAAAAAGCATTTTCAATTGGATTTGCGTCTCGTAAGAATATGGAGATCTGCCTCATTTTCACTAATCTACTAGCCTGTGCACAGACGCAACGCTCCCTCATAAATTACGTCAGTGCACAGGCTACTAATCTACTGGAGATTTGGGAGTGCTAATAGGCAGCATTTTTTAAATATTAAGAATAAATAAATAAATTACTTTTACTTTTGCATAATATTCATACGTATAATATTTAATACGATGCTACAAAAAATCATTCTCGAGGACCCTGTAGTTCAACCAAATTTTTAGCTGTTTGGATAGTTTTCTTTCAACATATCTAACTGTAACTGAGTACGCAAATTAAAAATACTCTTTGCTACAGCTAGATACGTTGGAAAGAATGCTCCCAACTTTAACTGAACATTTTCCGGTTAAACTTGTATCAAACTACGTGAAAACGGGGCCTTAGGTACAACACATTAGTGCAAGTTAGGCTCGTTTCAGACGTCGAATCTTTCATGTGCCAAATCCAGTGCAAAATGAACTCAAGCAAAGACTTTATCTCATTAACATTAGGTTCGGAACATGAATAGTCGATGTTTGAAAGGGGCCTAAGTCATTTCTACGCCAAATATATGCAGTAACTTATTAGGGTTTGGGGGTTTTAGTATTGGGCTCTGCGTTTAAATTACTCTTCAACTAGAATTGTTACTCGTTGTAATAGCTAAGACCGAACAAGTTATAATATGGACAAGAGTAAATTTCAGCTATTTAAAAATAACTTAGCATCAAATGCGGCTCTGGGACACACTATATAGGTTTTCCTCTCATGTTTCTGAATGGTTCAAATCGTATCTTACGCACAAATGCCAAGTCACCGTCGTTTATAATAAGCAGTCCTCTGTAAAGCCTGTGAATGTAGGGGTCCAACAAGGAAGCATTCTTGAGCCGCTTTTATTCATTATCTATGTGAATGTGAACAATTTACCCAATTGTATCAAGTCATGTAATATCTCTATGTATGAAAATGATACTGTCGTTTACTTTTCTTCAAAGACAGTCAAGGTATTGAATTAAACGAGGATCTGGCAAATGTTCAAAAGTGGTTCACAGACAATCTCGTACCTTGAATGAGAAGAAATCTAAATTCATGCTAATTGGTGGCCATCAACGACTTAAATCTTGTTCTGGTGTTTCCATCGGTATCAATGGGACAATACGATTGTGCGTGATGAGGATGCAGGTTCTCCATTGATGATGAACTCCGAAATTGAATTCCTAGTTTTTATCGCTTAAATAACACACAGAATGTGCCAATGCGAAGTCTAATTTTACTCGAGACATGCATACCCTGATCAATTTCAATACCTATGCTCTAGTAACACTCTGTTGTCTAGATGACATTGGTGTAGGGAGTTGATTAATAGAGGCAATTGTATTAAATAAACGAACGCTTTTCGCTGATATTTAACCAAAGAGATACAGTACTGCCAAGAAATAACTTGTCACCGCGTCTACCCGCGTCCTGCGTGCGCTGCGCCCGCGTCCTGCCTCCACGGCGCCCACTCGGAGCAGTCTTCGGAACATAATCGAAAAAACTTTACTGTATATCATGCATATTTCTACACGGCCGTATTTTATCGTTTAAAGTCAGAATGGGCGTAAGGGATGGCAAAGGCAAATAGTGAAATATGTTCAACGCGGGGATAAGTCAAGCCTACGCGTGTTACACACCTTTCACGGCTTTTGTCGTATGTTTAATACAAGAAAATATATCGTGTTTTTTCTTGTATTTTCTTAAATTGTTTGCTGTTAAATGGTAATGATATGTTTAATGTTTATGCTATGCAATGTTTTTAGAAACAAACATTGAGTATGCCTAAACGAGTAAGTTCTGAAGAATCACGTTATCACATTGACAATATTTATATGTCAGTTCCGCGAAATGTCACCTTTGTCCTGAATTCGACCCCTGAAACGCACATTGAAACAAACATTGAAACTATTTCAGAAGAGATCTTCAATGACAAAGTGCCACTGTATGATGACACTCAATCAACTCCCATCACAACACCATATTCCAGCCCCCAAACACAATTATTTGAAAGTGTATTTAGAAGGAGCTCATCTATGTCAAATTATGCCAAGAATCTTGTTTTTGAATTGTTCAAACGAGATGAACTAATAGGAAAGAACTGTGCGGGTGTAAAGGGAAAGCAAGGTATTGGATGTGATCCTCGCATGGAAATTGTTCGGGAAAACACTTCTTACAAAATATAGAGTTTCTGACAAAAAGGCAGCATGGGGTTTGTGTCGAAAGGCAATTGACACAGCTTTGCGAAAAATGAAGTATTCAATATAACCTTTGCACTCTGATGATAACAAATAACCTTTAGATTATAACAATGCATGATAACAGATGATAACCTTTGTACATATTCTAGCTTAAAAATTGTTTGTATTTAGTTATACCAGTATTTTATTAAACATTAAATATTAAATGTGAAATTTTAAAAAAATTGTTCATAGAAATAAGGTGTAATACTGTATAAGGCCTAGAGAGTCTGTTCATTTGTCCTGCATGCATTGGACTTTCCAACTAATATCCAGTGGGGCCACCACCACATGCAATAACGGCAGGTACAACTTTCCGCACATGATTAACATATCGCTGGCACATTTCAGGGGTGACTGTCTTCCAATACTCTTTGATTCCCCCAATTAAATCTTCTTTTGTACTTGGTTTAACATTCTTACGCAGGTAATGCTTCAAATTTGCCCACAAATTCTCTATTGGATTTAAGTCCTAAAATTTAGAAATATTTATTAAGCCCCGTGAGTTGCAATGAAGTACAGTACTATACTGTACATACAACAAAATGTGTTTTAACATATAAAGGACTAATTTAGTATAGGAGTAGTAATATTGAAGAACAAATTAAATTTCATTCTATAATGCTAAATTGAAGTAGTTGTATAAACATACCGGTGACTCTGGGGGAGTTGGACAGTGATTAACTCCATTAGCTATCATCCAATCCTTGGTTGAACGGCTGGTATGTTTCGGATCATTATCCTGCCATAAACGATGCCCACCAGGGTATTTACTTGCTATAAAAGGAAGCAAGTTCCTTCTCAAAATAGTTTGATATCCAATGCTCTCCATGTAGCCAGTGAAAATACAAACATTTGTAGCACCTTGATAGGATATGCCAGCCCATACATGAACCTGAAGAATGGATTACATATGAATTATTATATTTAACATGCACTACAGTATTCTAGTTTTTCAAAACAAAGTCCAGGCCTGGTAAAACCTATTATGCTCCAGGACAGCTCAAGGTCTGTAGTAGTGTGACTGTAATAAATCATGATTTATTGTGCTAAAACTTTATTCGTTAAACTGAGCATCAAATCATTCACTCGCATTAATTAACTGAGAAATAGTATATAACATTAAACTTTCAAAATATGTCATATACTGACCTTAAGTGGATGTTTTGGACGGCCCTTACGTTTGGGCAAACTGCCATTCTTGCGGAAACAATATTTGGTATGCTGCTGGATCTCGACAGTCGTCTCATCAGTGAAAATTACATTTTCAAAACCATCTTTCTCCTTCATTGCATTCAGACAAAACGCCAGCCGCTTTACTTTGTTTCTTTCGCGAATAAGTTGGCAGTATCGAGCCTTTTCGTGCTTCCAACCGAGTTTTATCGCCTCACGTTTCGTATGGTCGATGCCGAAATATTTACACTCCGTTCGTCGTGCAACAGCTTCTGAAGTTCTACTGAAGTTAGTTCGTCGTTACCTTGCATTTTTTGATCAATAAAACCAAGATCATCTTCAGAGAGAACGGATTTTCGGCCGCTACGATGTTTATCATCAATGCTTCCTGTTCTGTTGTATCTCGCGATAAAGGAAGACACACTATTACGCGATGTTTTTATCCCGTCCTCTTCTTCTAGTATTTTCACAATATTAATA